GAAAGAAACACGAGAAATAAGGAAACAAACAGAAAATAGAAAATATATAGCATCTACTTGCAATCTTCTTGCAGATCGTGCTCTAAAACTTGGTTCTCTTGATCTGAAATGGTTAAATAAAGGATGAGTTGCACTAGCCAAGTAAGGATATCACACTATATCACAAACACAGAAGTAAAGGTCGGTATAAAATTGAAAAATCACTAATGAAGCATTAAATTTAGCAAATTTATTTATCAATCATAAAATCATTTCTCGTTCACTTACCATAGTGGAATTTATGAAAATAATATGTAAGAACAATAATATCATACAGACCAATATTTCATGCATAATCAGCCATCATGGTACATATTATAAATCTATACACATCGTCAAATAACCAAACAATAACTGTCACCTTTTCACCAACCTACTAGTATCCATGGGGGTTCATAGGAATGCCCCTGCTACATGTGAACCCTTTCATTTATCATTCTCAATTATGGATCGTCCCCATACCCCCGTCCGATATGAGCGCCAATTTACTAAACCTTAATACCAAGTCCGGTATAAGGGTGAAGCGGGCCGTCCCCATATCTCATCCGGTATGAGTGCCAAATTATCAAGTCTCTGTACCCCGTCCGGTATGAGACAACGTTTATGGTAGGGTTCCCTATGTACCCGATCCGTTCACCATCTCCCAGGATATTCAGTAAGACTGTCGTTTCATCTAATCATTTAATCACACAATTTCTTTACCGTTTAAACTTTATTTTTTCCGATTCAGTAGTAAACACGTAAAATAAACCATACATGCGTTCAAAGTTATAAAATAAATAAATAAGATACCATCATGCAGGTAAACTATAAAAAAAAACAATTACAGTAGTAGATAATTTTCGGTTCCGTCTCCATTAGCAACTCGTAACTAAAATCGCACAAACTACTACATTATTATTTATTTAAACTTCAGTTCTATGATAGAGAATAGGGTGAGAGATCCCTACTTGATTTGATGTTTGAAAAGCTAAACTGTTTACTGTGCCTACAGACGGTTCCTCGATTCCTTGAATTTTTTTCGACAACTAAAACGTGTTAATAATACCTATAAATATTCTAAATAAATCCAAAATCAGTCCAAGGGCCCACTTGACCAATTTTAGAATTCCAGCACAGCGGCTCTACCATGCTTCGGCATCGGCGCCACCGCCCGCGTCGGCGATTCGCCTTAGGTCGGCCATTTTTGACCGATTTTGCATCGATCTCTGCGAGAAAATATGTTAAAGGGCCTCGATTGGCAAAAAAAATACAAAAAATCAAAACTCACCGGTGGCAGGGCTCTCCAGTGCGGCGGCTCCTTCGATTCATGTTGAAATTGGGTGTTTTGCTTTGGTCAACCTGTAGAGAAGAAAACGGTGGAAAAATTACGCAAAACGGGGATCGAGAAGGGCCTCATCGGAGGTGTTTTGTGAAATTCCCTGCGGCGACAGCTCCGGGCTTTACTGGTATTTTTCGACCAATTATCTGGTCTTTTTGCTCTAATTTGGGTATGGGTGAGCTTAAAATTGGATTTCGTGCAGAAGAGAAAGTTTTTACCCTTTTTTGCAGTCAGAAAGGGTTCTAATGCGGCGGCGGGTGGTGGCAGTCGGCTCCCCGGTGGCTGGGTCATCTTCTCCGGTAAGGGGTTCTAGTGGATAGGGTTAGGGTTTGGTGCGGATGGGGGTTATCTATATCCGTTCGCTTTTGATCTGGGTCATTAATCGCGTTTGATCTGGACTGTCCAATTATGATTAAATAGGGAGTAAACCATTGGCCGTTCATCACGATCCAATCTGGGCCATCCATCGGGATCTAATATGGACCGTCCGATCGTATGTGAATCAGGTCGTTCGATCGCATTTGGGAAGGAGCGCATCCAGGCCATCCATGCGCGTAGGAACGGAACTCAATCGTTCGGTCGTGGGCATATAGATCGTCCACGTGGCCTCCCGCATGGCCTCCCACGTCAACGTCTCTGCCACTTGACGCGTCCTGGTTGGTCAGGGCTTCTGACCGGTGTCTGACGTGGTAAAACTTCCCAAAATTATATTTCGACTCCTTTTTTCTAATTTTTCTTTCAAAAATACCCCTAGAACCCAAATTTTTATCATTTTTCCTAAAATTATTTTCAATTAAATCCTCCATCACATTTCCTTCATTTTTACATTAAATTAAAATTAAAAAATTTAAAAAATTATATTTATAATTAATTTAATTTAAGATTAAATTAATTTGGGCGTTACACAAGAAGTGGCTACAAAATACCAAACATAAGGGCCACTTCTTTTACTATGCTACTAGAATTCATCAGAGTGCAGGAACAGATATGTACTCATACTTGTGGATCCATGGGATCCTCATAAACTTTCAAGGGTAGGTCTGCATGTGATTCTTCATTTGCTTCCTCATCTGAAAGGGAGAGGATGGAAAGAGTAAGTTTCATATGTTCAGTAAGGAAAACAGTATTAAATTAACATCGTAAAATTTCAAAAGTTTATTATTTTATCTTACCATTTAGTGTCTTCGTTACCTAATTCATCATTAGAAAAAATATTTATTTGGATATCAAATTAGTACGTTAGCATAGAAAATCAAATATACATATATCATGCCAAATAATAGAGAAAATCAAATAAATCATGAAATACTCAAATTTTTCATGTCATGCTTCGCGAAGTCGTTACAAACTTCCATCTCTGATGACATATACAGATACAGATTTTCAATTGCCCAAGTGAAATAATCAGATCAGATACAGATACGACAATTTGCTCGGGCCCACTTTCGACTGGCCAAACCATGGTACGATCTATGACCACGACTGTACCAACTATAGTGGTCCTAACAGATAATCTATAGTCACAATATTACTTAGCCACGGTTGATCTTTACAGATAGTGCGATACCACTCTCGTCAGAGGGCATGCCGTCATCCACTGGGAGCAGTCCGCTTACGTCTTTCCAAACCAGATAGGGGATAGAAAAATAGATACCTGAAGGGCAAGGGAAACATATACTCCTTGGAGATAAAAAGTCTAACGAGACACTTGATGCAATATGCATGTCAATACAGATACACTTCGAACCATACAAGCTTCATTCCACTTTTCCCTTTCTTTTTTCTTTTCTTTTATTTTTTTATAACAACAGGCTACATATTACATTTATCATATGCAAATTCACCAAGTGTCAGTAAATCACACAGCATGCTTGAAAATCATACAATTCGACTCATTTGAATACAGAGGCATGCAAAGAGACAAAATAATTATCATATTAAATTTACTTATCTAAAAATACTCCTTAAGACGTTGAAAATAATACTAGATTTCTTACCAAAACCTCGATGTTTTATCCTTCACCGTTTTTCTTTCTTTTTTTTCTTCTCTCACTATTTTACTATCTCTCTCCTTTCTCTCTAAATCTTTGAAAAATGAAAGAAATAGAAGTGTGAAGAGGATGGGAAGGGGAATGGTAATTTGTAAAATTTCATAACCGTTGGATTCGCACCAAGTGGTGAAATCTGGTAAAGAGAGAGAAGTAAAAGATTTTTGGCACGAAAAACAAGGGCACAAATTTCCTCCATCGGCGGCAACAGCATGCTGCCCAAGGTAGTGGCAAAGCTTTGGCCAAGGTGGTAGAGCCTAGCCGGTGCGCTACAGGCTAGCCTGCAGGCACACAAGCCTACTGCCACGCGCGTAGGGCCTAGGCGCACTGGGCGCCGCGCACACAGGCCTACTGCGCACAGGCCCCAGACACACAGGGCCTGTCTGTGCAGGCCTGTAATGCGGGCAGTGTGTGCACATTGTGCGGCGCCAGTCTATGTGCGAAGTGACGTGCGGGCGGCTTGCCTGAGCGTAACAGGATGCGTGCGCTGGTCCTAATCCCCCGCCGTGCATGCAAATGGGACGCACGCGCTGTGGGCGCGTCCTGTGCATGCGTGCGTATGGAGGGGACGTGTGCGCTGTGCGCATGTCCCATGCGTGCTGGTGTGCGGATGAGTCGTGGGCGTTGTGCGCACGGCCCGCGTCAACTGCGCGCGCATATGCGCGCATAATGCCCAGCACTCGCGCAGGGAAACCTATTTTCCTGTGGGATTTTTTTCCGCAGGCCGGTTTTCTGCCATTTTGCTGTTTTTCAATTTTTTTCTAATTTTTCCTTTTGAAATAAAATAAAATAATGTAAAATAAATTAAACTAAAAAAATAGTAAAATTATTAAAATAAATAAAAATATATTAAAATTACAGATTTCAAGAATGACGTAAATTAATTTAAATTTAGAACAAATAAATAGAATTTTTAAATCATTTTAGCATAATAATGAGCAGAGTGTTATAAAGAATTAATTTTGTTTTATTTGAATAATTTGCTCTTGTATGCTTATTTTATTTATTTGAAGATGTTTGTCTTGAAAAAATTAATTTACCCTATCTCTTGGATTGACTTAGGTACGACGGGAGTTCTAATTCTTTCATAAAGTTTTACATATACTCAAGTTATATCATTTCAACATAATTTATAACTTTTTATAGTTGAACAATATATAAATTGTAAATACATCTTATGTCATTTTCAAACCCAATTCAAATATAACTTAAAATTTTTCGATAATTCTTTATCTTGTTTAAAATGAATACGAAGTGTAGACTATAGAGATTGCTCAATGTTTATCTTCTCCAACGAAAAACACATGGCTGAGGGTGGACTAGTTTTACCACTTAGAAAAACAACATATATATATATATATATTATATGAGGGAGAGAGTTCGAAGTTTTGAGCCATATAAAATAGACACACATTTCACAACCGACAGCTACGAAGTGGTCCCACACCGGTTAATTGTTTTCTACTTGAAGTGCAATTTGTATTATTATTACTATTTAAAAATTTGTTGTAATAAAAACTAGAAAAAGAAAAATGAAAAATATGGGCCCCACCTGCCATCGAACATGAATCAACAAAGAAAACAGCCTGGGAACACTACATTTCACCTCACCTCCACCTCTTGCTTCTTTTTCTTCTCTTTATTCTTCTTCCTCAACCCAACCAAACCCTTCACATTAATTCCTCTCCTCTCTTCTTCTTCTTCTTGTTTGGGTTATTACAATCATGAGCTCCATTGTAGAGAGTATTCAGAAGAGAAGTTTCTTGTCATCTACCCGCGTTCAGCTCCCTGTTTCCAACAACGACGCAGCCGATCAACAAAGTCTTCGCAGGAGGCCGTCTTCTCTCTCGCTCAGAATCCAAAACATCTCTTCTTCACCCGCTGCATCATGGGCATTTCGCAGATCTAAGTCTGTCTCATCCATGGGAGAGTACGCCGGAAGCTCTATTAGAAAATGGTGGGATTTGGGTTGGTCTTGGATCTTATCTAGAAAACCTGTTTTCGCCAAAGATATCGAGATGAATGAGGAGGAAACTAGGGTTCTTGGCTGCCATAACAAAGGGAGCTGGAGACATGTGTTCTACAAAGTCAGGTCTGAGATCAGAAGACTGATGCGATCTGATCAAGTGGGTCTTCCTCAAACTTACAGGTACGATTCTTTCAATTACGCCAAGAACTTCAATGGCTGATTATCATATCCCTCTCATGGGAATAAAAATCATGAAGCAGAGCGGGCGCAATTCAAATTTTGTGTATGGGGTTTTCTTTTTCTGTAATTTGGTGAAAGTAATTGTTTATTTGTGGTTCATGGAGATCTGGATGCATGTTTGAATATCGCAATTTCTGCCACTGCTATATGAAGGAAGTACGGGCAAAGATCGTGTTGTTGATAAAACTGAATCATTGCAGACGAGCTTACTTGCTGCTCGATTCTCTTGTTAGTATATATTACGAATTGTTATTAATCAGAATTTTAAGTAATTATTTGTTTATTTATTTTCATTTTTTGTATATTGATGACGTCATTAAGTGCCAATGCATTCTTATGGTGTTATTCTATTTTTTTTTAATTAATTAAATTAGTAATAATTTAGTAATCTTTGTTTCTTATTATTATTGGGTGATAGAAAACCCTTTTTCTTTGTTCATTTTCATATTTTTGCAATGATAAATGAATGAAAATTCCTATTGACAATAAATATTCCACTTGCTCACATTGGAATTCAAATGAGAAAGAAAAATAAAAAAAAACTCATAAAAGAAAATAGAAATTTCTCAAAGAAATAAAACAAAATAGAAATAAATTAAGCGTAACAAATAATAATAATGACAATGAGACTTGTTTTTCAAAGAAATGGATGGCTAATAATTTTAGTGGGAATTGGATTCCTAAAAAAAGCGTCGGTGAATAGGAAAGTGCAAATCCAGTCATTGCCAGCCAGGATGCCATGTGATGCCAATTCTCTAAGCTTAAAAATATGAATATATATATATATATATATATATATGTATGACTAAACCATCCCAACTCATTGGCGTTTTTGTCAGTGAATCTGTACCACCTTTTTAATCATTTTAATATATTTCTCTTATACACATTGTATCATGGTCTTCTTAAATTTTTTTAAAAAATTAAATTAAAAAATAATTGAAAGGTGGAATTTGGCATCTATACATCGATACCCACTTCACAAAATGTCGGTGCAAATGTGATAAAACATATTTTTATAATTATACATTGTAACATGGTTCGTTTAGTCCTAATAATAATTTGGAATTTGTATGGTATCCTAGATTGATTTGAGCTACTCAGACACTATTGCATCCGACATGACCCCCAAAAAAAACCCTATTTACTTCTTGAATAGATTGGAGGTAATTAATTTATGAAAAACTTATAACTACAATTGTGATAAGATATTCGTGCATAGTGTTTAATTCGTTCTCATGATACGAATATAAAATTTGACTTAATGTTCTATGTAAGAATGATGGAGAAAAGGTGTTGGATGATGATTGTTTTATTATCAGTATTTAGACTTAAATTACATTTATTTAAACTCTAGCTGGTAGTAATAACAAATTTAACTATTAATTATTTTACTATAAATTTAAAGTAATCGATTAAACACTTTACTGGTTAAACTGATTAAACTCTTCAATTAAGTTGATCATCTTACTTTTAGTCTCATTAATTAAACTTTAGGGTTACCTAGATATGTGAAGGTTTAAATACAAAATGATATTTAATCAACAATTATTTGAATTTTTATTTTGTTGGATCCAAAGGAGATTATAATTAATTATATAAATTAAAATAATCTCAAATTAATTAATAAAAACCAATAATAATAATAATATTAATTTAATTAACCCCCGCCCAAAAAAAAATAAGTAAAGAAACAACTGTAAAATAAAAAAGATAATATTTTCCATGAAAACCCATTTAATTTAGGGGGAAAAATTATGGATCAAATTTTGAATAAAATTTATTATTAACGAAAATAAATAAATAAAAGGGGATTAATTTATTGATACCTAAATCAAACCAAAAAAAAAAAAAAAAAAAAAAAAAAAAAAACAGAAC